CGGCGTCTATGCAGGTATAACAACTACATCTTTTAAACAAATCTGACTCTCGGATTATGGAGAGGAAAAATAAGAAAATGGGTTAAGATTACATCTTTTAAACTATCTGAATCAAGAAAACAAAGGAGTAGAAAAGATCAGCTTGACAAGTTCAAAGTTAATAATACCTTTTAGATGCTATAGCCCAGTGGAGGACACTTCGATCTTTTTGTACAAAAATTTGAGGCTTTCTTTTTGGCATCTGAAGAAGGAGATTAAAGTGCTGATTTTTACCTCGCTACCATATTCTGAAACTTTGAAGCAGTGAAACATTTTCTTCCTGGTCTAATGAAAGATTAACCCTATGATACTATCATTCAAAGAATTAAGCTGCATTTGGATCCAAAGAAGAAAGTGATACCACAGCGATGCAGATTTTTAAAGTTAATTCAACAGGAAGGAGAATCAATTTCGGAATAACTTAGAGAATTGAAACATTTAGCAATAAATTGTAATTTCGTCGATATGTTGGGAACCATGATGCGAGACCGTTTTGTGGCTGGAATCAAGTCGGAAAAAATATCATCAATTGCTAATCTTTAATAAATCATTTTAATTAATATTTGCCCAACACTGCCTGAGATAAAAAGTGTTTTTATTAAATACAACACACCTTTACCATCGTCAGCTGCAGTTGAACGCCTTTTTTCTTTTGCGACAATGACAAATCTGCCAAAGAGTCACAAATTGTCGGACAGCATGTTCGAGAAGAGAGTGGTACTGAAATGCAGTGTTGGCCCTCGAGCCGGATTTGAACCAGCGACCTAAGGATCACCGTTGTAACATCTACAGTCCTCCGCTCTGCCAACTGAACTATCGAGGGATACAAACTGTATGAATAAGTTTACCTTATAAAGTCAACTAATTGTTAGTTGCACTTTTCTAATTAACAATTAATTAATTGTTAATTGCACTTCAATTTAATTGAAAAATAATTTTTTAATGCCCAACACTGTAATATATGTATGAGTTCATTTTGTGTAGAAATAGGATTAGTTGACTTTATAAGGTAAACTTATTCATACAGTTTGTATCCCTCGATAGCTCAGTTGGCAGAGCGGAGGACTGTAGATGTTACAAAGGTGATCCTTAGGTCGCTGGTTCAAATCCGGCTCGAGGGAGTTTTTTTTTTTTATTATTGGCTGCCGGCGAGCACGTGACCTCCCTGCGCGCGCGCATCCGTGACAGAGGCCGATGAGGAAAGACGGTCGTGACTATATATATACTAGCCGAATGACCCGGGCAACGCCCGTGTTTTACCCGATTGAATGTTTTTATTCCAATACTATTTGTTACAATTATAAATTGGAGCCGTGGATGTCACTCTTGTGAAACGTCCCGCTCCAAACTTTACATGTACATTAGGTCAGCTGGTATTACCCCTCATTTTCACCGCTAGAGGCGCGAGCGAATTGACTTTTTGTAAATATACATAATTATAAAGATAGAAGCTTCTATAGAAGATAATGATCATAATGATGATGCGCGCGCATCCGTGACATGAGGAATTGAGGAAAGACGGTCGTGACTATATATATTAATAATAAAATAATAAAATAATAATAATAATATAATAATAATTATTATTATTATTAACATTAGATAATGATAATGATCATAATGATGATGCGCGCGCATCCGTGACATGAGGAATTGAGGAAAGACGGTCGTGACTATATATGTTGATTATATATATATAATATAAATATATATTATAATATCAACTATATTAATTAAATCAAATACCTAAACACTAATATAATACAATTTTTGCCATCACACACACTTTTTTCCTGTAGTTTATGTGTTACCTCTGTATTGCTATTCTATGGCACTTCTAATATTTATTATTGATGTACTTTCAGTATGAAGGAAATTGCAATCGGGGGAATTCTCGGGCGAAGCCAGGTCATACGTCTAGTATATAATATAAATGAGTTTTAAAAATTGAAAAAAAAAAATGCATCGGCCGGGAATCGAACCCGGGCCGCCCGCGTGGCAGGCGAGCATTCTACCACTGAACCACCGATGCGTATAAAAATGGCCATATTTGGGTATTCATTCCATTCCGGATTACTCCGCGTAAAAAAAAAAGTTCTTCAAATGAAAAAAAGAAATAGCCAAAAATACTAATCAAAATGTAGCCGAAAATTTTCCTCAGGTTTATAAAAAGCGACATGCAAAATTTGGTACCAATTGGTTCAGTAGTTTTTGAGTTTATCGCGAAACAGATAGACAGAAATTGACTTTTATATATATACTAGCGGACGTACCCGGCTTCGCCCGGGTTTTACCCGAGTAAAGGTTTGTCTAACGAATCTCTCTATAAAGTGAACATTTTTTCCCGGTCCCTTGAAAAATACTCGATAAGTTGAACAAAATCAATATCAATTGGTTCCCTCGGTAATTGGAAGTTAAAGGAATAGTATCTTGCCTTGGAATTGTATCATTATTCTTGTATGGACGTACCCGGCTTCGCCCGGGTTTTACCCGAGTAAAGGTTTGTCTAACGAATCTCTCAATAAAGTGAACATTTTTCCCGGTCCCTTGATAAATACTCGATAAGTTGAATAAAATCAATATTAATTGGTTCCCTCGGTAATTGGAAGTTAAAGGAATAGTATCTTGCCTTGGAATTGTATCATTATTCTTGTCTCAAATAAATTGCCGTGTCATCCTGAATTTTGTCTTTCCTAATTTTCTACATTACAAAATCATCGTATCATCATGATAATATTTAGAGCAGATTGTTGAATTATAACAGATAAATTAGAATATGTATCTTGATTATTTTAAAGCGAAAAGTTATTTCAAAAATTTTATTTGCTAGAAACCTTCCCAGTACTATACTAAATAACTTCCCAAAGTTTCATGGCGTTCCAATGAGTGGTTTGGTCAGGCATAAAGGACAGACAGACACACACACACACACACACACACACATACATTCATTTTTATATATATAGATATAGCCGAATGACCCGGGCAACGCCCGGGTTTTACCCGATTAAATGTTTTTATTCAAATACTATTCGTTACAATTATAAATTGGAGCCGTGGATGTCACTCTTGTGAAACGTCTCGCTCCAAATTTTACATGTACATTAGGTCAGCTGGTATTACCCCCCATTTTCACCGCTAGAGGCGCGAGCGAAAGAGCAAATTTGCAAATAACACGACGGATATTCGGGATAGAGACCTGAAATTTTCACTAAGAGTTTTTCCAGGTTCTACTTTATATACTGTTAAAATTTCAGTCAGATTAGTTACGTATTGTGGACGTATAGATGACAAACATACATACGCTGACTTTTATATATACAGGGTGTACCAGGTAAATTGGGAATTTCAACAATGGTATTTTAACTGAAATTTTTTGCAAGTAAAAATTAAAATATCCGAATGAAATTTGACACAGTAGTAGATAAAAGGATATAGTTTTTATTTATTCAATGTAGTTTCCATTATTAGCTACAACAGTCTCGAGGCGAGTGCGGAATGAAGCACAGGCCTTGGCGACGATGACCTTGTCCATTTGGGTCATCACCGTGTGAACTGCTTTCTTGACAGACTGGATGGTGGTATGAGGAGCTTTGTTGACATCTCTCTCAACAACGCCCCATACATAGTAGTCGAGGGGATTGCAATCTGGAGAATTAGGGGGCCAAATATCAGGACCCCAGTGACTAGGGACGTTAAGTGTCAGCCACGATTGTGTCTTTTTTTTGCCTTATGGGCTGGAGCTGAGTCCTGTTGGAAGACATACTTCCTTCCTGCGGCCACCATGTCCATCCAAGGCTTCACAACGGTCTCCAGAACATTGATGTAGGTGTCAGCGTTCATCCTAAGGCCCTTCTCAAAGAAATGGGGAGGCATGACATCACCTTCACTGCTGATAACGCCAAGGACCATTACAGAGGCAGGAAATTTCGTGTGCATCACGACAGGTATCTCTGAGGGGTCTTTACAGATCCAGCGATCATTCCTGGGATTTACCTTTTGGTCCACGTCAAAGTTCTTTTCGTCAGAGAAGAACCTTAGCATGCCAAAAGAGTCGTGTTTCAGGTTGTTGAGGAGGGCAGCAGCCTTTCCTTTTCTGTTATTCTTCATATTCTCAGTCAGCAACTGACCTTTCCGAAGGGCATAAGACTTGAGACCAAGGTCCTCATGGATAGTTCTGACAATTGTCATAGAGCCAACGTCCATTTCCTTGGCTATGGCCCTCATGCTCTTCCCAGGGTTTCCATCAATCTTCTCCTTGACATTTTTCACAAATTCTTCGCCTCTTACCCTGTCCGATCGACGCGAGTGCTTTTTCCTTGTAGCTATCCCCTCTTTGTTACTGTCGGCCTCATCAAACTGCTTCTTGACACGATAAATAGTGGTTTTGGGCAACTTAAGAAAATCCACTATCTCTTTGGGGCTCCTTCCGGCGCGCAGAGCAACGATGATGGCAGCTCGATTTTCAAATTCTCGGTTACTCTTCATCACTACACTGCGCACACATGTACTGTTGCATTTTACATGAATATGGCTACGTAATGATAAAAAAAAAACAAATTTTTAATCTCAAGTAGTTTTTGTTTTATGGACTGTCAAAGTTAGTCCCAATTTACCTGGTACACCCTGTATAAGGGATAGTAATATAAATGAGTTGTAAAAATTGTAAAAAAAAAGCATCGGCCGGGAATCGAACCCGAACCGCCCGCGTGGCAGGCGAGCATTTTACCACTAAACCACCGATGCTTATAAGAAATGGCCCTATTTGGGTATTTATTCCATTCACAAAAGCAAACGTTGACAGAATTGTTGATGACTCTGATACTTGTATTTAAAATTATGTTAGCATAATGAATTAGTCAGTATTCCCATGGTCTCCAGCGAAGAGGTGTGAATTGACTTTTTGAAAATATACATAATTATAAAGATAGAAGCTTCTATATAAATAACTAAAATAAACCGAAATAGCTCAGTTGGGAGAGCGTTAGACTGAAGATCTAAAGGTCCCTGGTTCGATCCCGGACTTCACACAGACAGAATAAGGCAATTATATTTGTAGATTTTTTATAAATGAGTTTTAAAAATTGTAAAAAAAAAAATGCATCGGCCGGGAATCGAACCCGGGCCGCCCGCGTGGCAGGCGAGGATTCTACCACTGAACCACCGATGCTTTAAAAAATGGCCATATTTAGGTATTCATTCCATTCCGGATTAGTCCGCAAAAAAAAAAAAAGTCGTAGGACGAGTGGGTAACCCCCTCGATTCCCGACAGTCATGAACCGGGATTGAATCCCGTGTTAAAATTTGTTTAATATGTGAATAACCTTCACATATATTATTCATTGTTCAATTATCATGAACTAGGTTGCTCTTGCTGAGCGGTACCTATTTATGTGATTTGAACCAGGATTAGTCCGCGTAAAAAAAGGTTCTTCAAATTAAAAAAAAATAGCTAAAAAACTAATTAAAATGCATCCGAAAATTTTCCTCAGGTTTATAAAAAGCGACATGCAAAATTTGGTACCAATTGGTTCAGTAGTTTTTGAGTTTATCGCGAAACAGACAGACAGAAATTGACTTTTATATATAGATAGAGAATATAGAGATAGAGATAGAGATAAATAGGTTTTAAAAATTGTAAAAAAAATGCATCGGCCGGGAATCGAACCCGGGCCGCCCGCGTGGCAGGCGAGCATTCTACCACTGAACCACCGATGCTTATAAAAAATGGCCATATTTGGGTATTCATTCCATTCCGGATTACTCCGCGTAAAAAAAAAAGTTCTTCAAATGAAAAAAAGAAATAGCCAAAAATACTAATAAAAATGTAGCCGAAAATTTTTCTCAGGTTTATAAAAAGCGACATGCATAATTTGGTACCAATTGGTTCAGTAGTTTTTGAGTTTATCGCGAAACAGACAGACATTGACTTTTATATATAGAGAGATAGAAGAGGTCACATTTTTAATAGAGAAAAATTAACCAAGTACTAGACAAAAATACCTTTTTTATACTCAGAAAATGATTATTACAATATTTCTGTATCATGTTTGATTGACAGAAACAAAATTATTTCGGGGAATATTTACTGAAGCAGGCGAAGCTTGACCATCATTTTCAGTAGACAGGAACAAGATTCTGACAGCGAAACTCGAGCAGAAGACAGACGCAGCCATCTCTATATCCCAAGTTTGGAGCGGGATGTTTCACAAGAGTGACATCCACGGCGCCGATTTATAATTGAACAAATAGTATTTTAATAAAATGATTTAATCGGGTAAAACCGGGTAATTAGGCTAGTATAAAATAAAAGTTCAAAAAGAAAACTTTTGCACTATTTTCGAATAAAACTACAAATAAAATTATAAATTTAACCAGAGTATATGTTTGGTTGAAGAAGCAGTTTAAAATATAGGATATACAGTCTATTCAAATTAAACCAATATCAAATTTACATAATTTGTGATAGAAAAATTATAGATAGATATTAAAGGATTTGACCATAGAACTTGAGACTATCCAAATATCTGACTGCTTATTTTTAAGTCAGAAAATGTGATGATAATATTGCTGTATTGACAATTTCTTATAACAATATTAGAACAATTCTATGAACAGATCTAGAACGGCAACCAGATCACACACACATAATGGCTTGTCAAAAATTGTATCTTAGTAAAGCTAAAATAAAGTAAGTGTGAGAGATTATATGTTTTTCATAAATATATTTTGATACATTAGCGCAATCCCTATATATATATAAAAGTCAGTGTATGTATGTATGTTTTTCGGCTATACACGTCCACAATACGTAACTAATCTGACTGAAATTTTAACAGTATATAGAGTAGAATCTGGAAAAACTTACAGTGAATATTTCAGGTCTCTATCCCGAATATTCTTCCGAGTTATTTGCAAATTGCGTTGCAAATTTGCCCATTCGCTCGCAAGCAGCTCCTCTAGCGGTGAAGATGGGAGGTAATATCAGCTGACCTAATTTACATGTAAAACGTGTTTTAACAGGACATAGAGAAAAATCTGGAAGAGATATTTATCGGATTTTTAGCCAAGAAAAAATTAAATTGACAGGTTCTGGGCAAAAATATTTGTTTTTTAGTCAGAAAAGGATGATGACAATATTGCTGTATCATGTTTGATTATCAGATGCAAAATTATATCGAGAAAAATTCCAAAAAGCAGATACCTCGGGTGAAGCCGTTCATTTTTAGTATGCAGGAACAAAATTATAATAGAAAAACATTCATTCGAGCAGAAGACACAAAGCCAGATCATCTCTCTATAAAAATATCGCTTCTCAGACACAAAGTTTGGAGCGGGACGTTTATAATTGTAACGAATAGTATTTGAATAAAAACATCTAATCGAATAAAACCCGGGCGTTGCCCGGGTCATTCGGCTAGTAAATTAATAAAAAGGCATCTCGTGATCGAGCAACTAAAAAATGCTGATGGCTTGTGTCATATCTACTTATATAATTGCCTTATTCTGTCTGTGTGAAGTTCACTGTGTGAAGTTCACGGATAGATTTTGGTCAGAATGGATAAAATAAAAAAAGTGTCAAGGGATGGAAATCGAACCCACGACCTTCCGCTTACCGGGCAGATGCCATGACCACTAGGCTACCCTGGACATATTTTTCCGTTCATAAAGTTAATATATGATGCCAATATATATATAATAATTGTATAAACGAATGCAAGACAAAATCACCGCGAATGTTTCTTTTTTTTTAAGGCAATTTCTTTTTAAAGCAATTATCGTTTTGCACAATTACTTAATCTTTTAAAATAAATAACAATACTTAAATGAAAATATATTTCTTTAAATAAAATAAAATAAACTTTTAAATCGGTAACCTTTATGAGAACCTTTAAATATATATAAGTACCTTATAATTGTAACGAATAGTATTTTAATTAAAACATTTTAAAAACACACAGTTTGGAACGGGATGTTTCACAAGAGTGACATCCATGGCGCCAATTTATAATTGTAACGAATAGTAATTGAATTAAAACGTTTTTAAAATATATACGCACTCGGGTAAAACCCGGGCGTTGCCCGGGCCATTCGTCTAGTAATATATAAAGGCCAATTTCTAAGATATAATATTCTAAATGTTAAAACGTTGATAAAAGTATACATGTACTTTTTTTCTCTACGGTATCTTAATTTGATTCCTATTTTTATTTGTGTGTATTTTAACTAATCTTAGGTACATGCGAGTTAATTCATAACAATACTGGTAGCTAGCGGATGTCTGTAAGTGTTGTATCATATGGGTGCAGATAGCAGTTAGATTTTTGCACTTAGAAGGTGTCTAAATAATGTATTTCGCAAAAATGTGGTCTCGAAACCCCATTTAATTAATTGCACTCACTGATAGGGTAAATTGTACAAAATTTAGAGAGAGAGAGAGAGAGGCCATTAAAACAAAAACAAAAAGTGCTCAATGCGGGATTCGATCCCAGGTCAAGATTATTATAAATTGACGACGGGTACCATTTGTCCGCCAACCCTCACTATCTTAGATATAGATGGATGCAAAATTTATTCATATATCTTCCATTTAAATTGAATTAAAGTTTACATTCAAGAATAATTTTCTCTCTCTGTCTCTCTCCTTGCCCTTAATCTGACCTAGATTAAATGAGATGTCATATATCTGATTAGATTTTTCAGGATTTAGTTCAGACTTCGGCTATACCATTTTCTTAAGGCATTGGATGCAAACGGCCCTTCTGCTTGGACTGAGCTATTTCTCAACTTCTGGTTTTTATGTCAAAAGTTTATTTGGTACTGTAAAATGTCGGTTTCTTCTGAATACGGTTGGGTTTTAAGTCCAGTAGAAAATGCAGGAAATAGGAAATGTAGAAAATATATTGACGCTCTCTCTCTCTCTCTCTCTCTGAGGGGTAATCTTTGGTTGTTCGATAATGTGACCTCTGCCATTTTTTGTGCCGAGATCCACATATTTATTGACTTCCACCTGGACAAACTCACCTGGACAATCCTACAAAATGTATCTCTCCTTTTTTGCATTTCTGCTTGTTCTCTACTTGACCTACTTGTTTCGACTACCTAGAAGCTAGAAATTTTGTACACCAGTGTCGTCATCAAATTTAGAAAGTAGTTGGAGTTTTCAGGCTTCTAGGTGGTCTGCAAGTAGGTTAAAATTTTGATTTGAAAATTTGTGGAAAAACATTAAAAGGCAAGGGTTGAATAAGTCATTATTAAAGGATTAAACTTTTCTAACGTACTAAGTCTCGATATTTTCGAAAAATATACGATGTTCTTTTAGGACTAACCCACCTCAATCCTACATCTATGATCAGCCTCCCAGAATGGACCTCAGCATGGAACTTTATGGTCAACTAGTTCTGTTTGGACTGACCGACCTCAATCTTACATCTATGGCCAGCCTCTCAGATTTGAACCAAGCATGGAACTTTCTGGTCAACTGGTTCTGTTTGGACTGACCCACCTTAATCCAACATCTATGGCCAGCCTCTCAGACTGGACCCCAGCATGGAACTTTCTGGCCAACTGGTTGTGCATGGACTGACCCACTTCAACCCTACATCTATGGCTAGCCTCCCGGAATGGACCTCAACATGGAACTTTCTGGTCAACTGGTTTTACTTGGACGACCCACAATCTTACTTCTATGGCTAGCCTTCCAGACTACCCCAGCATGGAACTTCATGGTCAACTGGTTCTGTTTGGACTGACCCATCTCATTCCTACATCTATGGCCACAGCAGCTACATTATGCACCCATACTAGATGACTGCCCGCTGTACAAATGTCCTCACTTCTTTTTTCTAGATTTGATTCATTTTGTCTCCTCTCTTATTGTAAAGACGTTGCTGTATCACCTCATAAGCATAAATAAATAAAAATCTATGGCCAATATCCCAGAATGGACCTCAGTATGAAACTTTCTGGTCAACTAGTTCTACTCATCAAGCCACTCTGGCCGCGATTAGAAGTTTGTTAGTTGCCATTTCA